GTGTATGCATATGTATGTGAGTATGTGACTGTCTATGCTTATCCGCAGGCCAGAAATGATATTGTGTGCCCTCTTCTTTTGCTGTCCACATTAGTTTTTGAGATAAAGTCTCTAACTGAACTTATAATTCACTGATCAGCTAGGATGGCTTGTCACTGAGCCCTAGTGATCCTCTTGTCTCTGCTTCCAAGCACCCGGATTATAGATGAACATCTGTGTCCTGCTTTATACATGGGTGCTCAAGAGCCAAACTTAAGTCTTCATGCTTACCCAAAACATACACTACCCGCTGAGCCATCTCATTGGCCCCAGGTTTGTGTTTTAATGAAAATAACTTACATGTCAGCATTTAATGAATATTTGATCTAATTATTAAATAGGTATGTGTATATTTCATAAATATGTTTAACTTTTAAACAGTAGAACTTAAAACCATTAACTTTAAGAATCTCCATTTACTTAGTTAAAACAAGATACTTTACTATTTACTAAAACGTGAGGAAACTGCGTCTTTATTGAAAAATGTTAGCAGTGAAGACAAAATGCTGTTTTTTCCCCTTCAGGCTATTTTCTCATCTGAAATAATCAGTGGACTGAAAAGCCCCACTGGCTTAGAAACCTTAATGAGTGTGCATGTTAAACTTAAAATAACAAACATATTTTTTCCCCACAAGTCTGTTGTGGAATAAAAATAAATAATTCAGGTTTATGCTACAGGCATTCTCTTTCTTTGTGATTGGAATGGAGATGTAGGTTAAATTAGAGATGATTTTTGGTCACTTTTTCATTAGATGCTTTCATGTTACCCAATGTCTCTGGTTTTCTTCAGCCTTTGTTGTCATCTTTGAAAGTTTGCTTCTGTTTACTGTCATGCACAAGCAACTTTGTGGCGGCAAAGATCTATGATTTATTACAGAAAGGAACTTAAAAACATTTTTCTCCACTTTTCTGTTATACCAAGTAAAGTGCATTGTTACTACTATATATTGATTGATTATACTGATCAATATATTAATACCTTCTGTGTAAACACATAAATACACCCATGACATATATCCATGTATTAATCATACATACATACATACATACATACATACATACATAGCACAGTTATTTTTACTCATGGAGTGAATGCACATATCCCCCACCCCCTCACCCCATACAAACTGTTTATGTGTGCTGTGGGACATCTTCTGTACACTGTGAATATGAGTTGCTCTCATTGGTAGATAATGAAGCTGTTTGGCCAATGGCGAGGCAGAATAAGGTTAGGTGATACAATCAAACTGAAGATGGAGATAAAGAAGGGTAGGGTTGGGGCAGATAGGATCCAGCCTCCCAAGGAACAAGATGTCAGAGAACTGGTAAGCCACAGGCCACGTGGCAGTGCATAGATTAATAGAAATGGATTAATTCAAATGTAAGATCTAGTTAGTAATAAGTATGAGCTAATAAGCCAAAAATTTTGTAATTAATATTAAGCCTCTGGGTGATTATTTAGAAGTGGCTGCAGGACAGGCAGGACAGAGAAAAGCCTCTGTTTACACATGAGCATAAATTAAACAATGGCAAAGCTTTATATCAATAAAGTTTCTTGCAGAATACTGAAAGGAAAAATAAACACTCATTTAATGTATTATTCTCATGATCTTTAAACATGTTCCAAGAAGAAATGAACTACATCCAGAGAGATTTCAGAAAATCCCATTGATATGGCCATTGAGTTTTAAAAAATTATTTCTAAAAGTATCAGTATCAAGGTCTTACTACTCCATTTGAATACATTTCAGAGATGTTATGAAAACAATGGTGCTTTTGAAACTGACAATCCCTATATCACACATAGTCCTACCAAGGAGTAATTAGGAATGTCAGAATACAATTTTTTAAAGGAAGAATTTAGTACATTTGGTTTTTATGCACATAAGTGCTCATTTAGTTTGGAAATCTTTTTCTAAAATTGCTGCAGTTGCAGCCAGCTGAGTATTTCAAGATGTTTGATCCAAATTTTGGGACTGATGTTGTCAGTTATCACAAATTTAGAGCTGGAATTGATCAGTGGCATTATCTGGTCCAGTGCTTTCCTTTGGCAGATGAGTTGATGTAAATTAATTATCTAAAGAAAGTTTGTGGCATAGAGAATGAAAAACAGCCATTAGCATTCAAGGGAAGAAAGTGAAGCATGAAGACATTAAATAAGTTGCCAACTTTATTAGAACTGGTGCAAGCAGTGGGGACTAATTTTAGCCTGCCAATATCTCACTGGTGCTTTCGACTTCCCTGTACTATCTTCATATTGTTGATGCTTTCAAAATGTTACCTGGACTTGGATAAATAATTTTATAAGAAAGAAATGTTTCCTGACGCTGGATAGCGCTCACACTGTCATGCCATGTTGACAGGGAAGACAGGGCTCTCAATGACATTGCTTAACAGTCTTGAGTTTTGTGGAACTGCACTCAGGGAAGAAAAAGACAATGCCACTGCAATGTATGTGTTTAACAAGTTTCATTTGGGTTGTAATATTTTGAAACACGTAACAAGATCTTTTTAAACAAAATATATTTATAGGTTTAAGTGTAGCTTCAAGTGTCACTGACTAAACAAATGTAATTGCTCTGAATGGCCTCTAAAAAGCTTCAACGATTCATTGTGAAGCAAATTACACTGGAGTCTTTTCCAGAGCTCTCAGCATGGCTTTTAAAAAAGAAATTACTCAAACGGGTGAAATCAGCAATCATGAAATATAACCTGCAAATCTGGAGAGCCAGGTTTCTGAGTGGCAGTAGAGTTGGGCATATTTAAGACAAGTGATTAAATATGTTTGGTTTTCAAAGTAACCAAACCAGGAGTGTTTATAAGCATGATTGTTTTTGAGTAAGGTAAATTTACTTATAATGCTTTTAATCCTATTTAGCATTATAGAATTTTTTAGATAGTGCTTACAGGTGCAATCTTTTATTAATTCACATTGAAAAATATATGCATATAATTATTTAAAGCAACACATGATAGCATATTTGTGTGTATTTTGAAAAGTGATAATTGGACAAACAATACATATGGAAGGCTTATTGAGTGCTAGACTCTAGTGTAAACTTATATGTGCATCTGCCTGTAGTGATATTTTATTTGTGCTTTAATAAATAAAGCTTGCCTGAGACTAGAGAAAAAAACAGCCACAACAAAGAAGTCATACAATGTTAGCACACACCTTTACTCCTATCACTTGGCAGGCAGGATCTCAGTGTGCTCAAGACCACACTGGGAACAGAACCAGATGTGGTGGCACATGCCTCAAATTCCAACACTAGTTAACCATGGATGTCTGGAGGTCTGTACAGACAGACAGGAAGTGATAGAGCTGGGCAGGAAGAGGAAGTGATGTAGCTGAACAGAGAGAGCAAATCAGATGGCAGAACAGCAAGGCGTATAGGTGTGGGTAGACAGGAAATAACTTGCATTGGGAAGCTGCAGAGTTGGTGTGGTAAGGTTGTCTGGTGACTTTCCCTATTTCACTGACCTAAGTCTTTCACCCCTATATTTGGCTCTGTGTTTTTTTTATTTAATAAGACCATTTAGAAATACGTCTACATCTGCCCAGCAGTTCTGTGTAGTAATCCTTCGTATTCTCCTTATTCTTTTGTGTATGAGAAACTAGGACACAGAGCATATAAGTGATTTGTACTACATCAAGCAACCATTCATGGAAGGAAGACTTCAATTAAGGTATTTTGGTGCTCTAATCCATGATTTTACTCACTTTAGTTTCCATATTTATGAGTCTGGACTCCCTATATGGAAACTTAGAGAGAAAAGTAAAGTGTTCTTTTAAAATAATAATAACCAACCAGGTATAACTTTATAGGATTCCATTGTATTCATTTGAGGCCTATGCATCCAAATATGACAATTCAAAACTGAAGGTTTCTGCACTGGCATAGTTCAGAGGAGTTGTAGGTAGTCATGATGGGGTCCAGAACAGAAAGCTCCAGGCATTTGGGAGGACTCCCACACTTTTTGTGATAAGGTGCCCCACTATGCAAACATGAGAGTACTCATCTGACTATTTTTCTGGGGACCAGATTTCTGTCTTTTATTACATTTTTGGAAGGACAGAGAGCTCAAGTAATACCTAAAACAAGAGCAGGCAAGCTTTTCACTAAAGGCAAGATAGACACATGTTTGGACATGAGGAAGTAGGGTTTGTTTCCCAACTTTACTGCACAATGGTGGTGGGAAAGCAGCCGAGGACAGTGCAGGAGTGGGGCAATATTCCAAAGACATCTATCTTCCTTAGGGGCTTAGAAATCCAAGCTTCCTGAAATTACTCTTATATGTTGTAAAACATTACAGTTACTTCAGTAGTATTTTCAGTTATTAAAACGTGTAGAAAAAAAAGCTTTCTTAGTTTATATCGCAAGAACAGGCAACAGTCTGCCCCTTTAGACTATGGGGATGACCTTTCCCACCATTGGAAAAGTTTTGAAAATGCAAGTCTTGAGCTTCTGCAAATCTACTGAACCAGAAATTGGAAGCAAGAACCTACAGTCTGTGTTTGGAATATTTTCTTGGTGAAAAAGACATACTAAAGTTTGAGAGGAATTGCTGAAAAAAATTAATTTATTAATACTTATATAGAGAGAAAGTATGGTGTTTCCTTTTTTAGATGCTAGAACAATCTTTCAATAAGAGGTTAGCTTTCTGAAAGTTACCTTGAAAATATACCAATTTTTATTACTCTGTATAGAACTCATCTATATTTGATATACTTATGTATGTATGATATGTATTTACAGCTATATGTAATCACAACCTGCATATACACACATACCTGGCACAGAATATCACAAAGCAAGTGGAATCTTCAATATATGTAATGTCCTTTGATATTTTTTTTCTATTCTATTTCTATGGGATTCACCTCAGTCCATTATTTTCAGAAGCTGTTATTAGATCACAACCCATAGAGTAGAAATGCCACAATCAAATCTACTCACCAGGGCAAATTCTTTGTTGAGAATCATCTGCTCTACTAACGATGACTCATTACGGAAGAGGTGGGGCTGCATGTGGCTCCACATGTGAGGGAACCACCAGAACTCATCCACAGACTGCAGCAGAAGGTCATCTCCTTTATCTTCCTCTTCAGTTCCTGCAAAACATTAGCGACAATGGCTTCAATGATGACCTTGTTTTTGCAAGATTTATTTAATTCTTCACGATATTCTCTAAACAGACAAGAATGAGTTTAGTCAAGGTTACATCTGAGACGAGGGGCATGAGTATGGTGTGATGGGTACTGCTAATCAAAGTGGCAGTTTAAGACTACTCACTACTGATGGTGTTTAGAATTGTGAGCACATGCTGGAATAAACAATAAGCACACACACACACACACACACACACACACACACACACACAAACACATATAATTCACTATTTCTTACTGTATACAAGGAATTTGATTAGAGAGGATCACTTCTTTTTCTCAAATATTTTGTATGTGTGTACGAAACTCAGTAGATATTTTGATAAATTTTGTTTAGTCCTTTTAATTATGAAAACGTCATGAACTTATTGAAGGAATGTGGAAAATACAAGCGATCTATACAGGCAAAATAAAATAAAATAGAAATAGAACAACTACAAAGTTATCCTGTAGAACAAACCAGTGGGAACTACCTTTGGATTCTTCTTTAATTTAAATTTAAATTCTTCTTAATTTAAAACTGAACAGTTGTTCTGTAAGTACTGTTGTTTCTTTATAGTTCAAGTTAATGCTATTCACATAGAACTCCAATTTTAACACAAGATTTTTTTATTTATGTTTTATAATAAAGGTTATATAAACCCTAAGAATTTCATAAAACCTTAACAATGAATCTTATAATTATTTCTAAAAGTAACCTGATTTGAGAATTAGTTGAAAATGAGTACATCTTTCTCATTTTATGAGCAGTTTCCAGTCCAATGCATGTGAAGAGCACTGTGATACTACAGCTGAAAGAAAAACAAAAGTATTTCTAGGTGTATTTAATAATCAATTATCATATTGCAGCTCTTCAGAAAGATTTTTGCTATATAGAACTCTATGTATTTTACATAATTTAATAAAATTTAGACAAATTTTTAAAGCGTTATGAATTTAGTCATGCAATCATCGTTATATATTCTCAAAATACTAAACTATATAAGAAATCTAAAAATGTTCTGGCTTCCAGTGTGCTTTTGTTTGGTTTATTCTTTCATAATACAATATATTTAATAGGTGGGTGTTTAATTTTTTGCTATTTATTAAATTAAGGGACTACATATTAATTTTATTTTAAATGTTTCTTAAAATGTTCCATTTGCATGTTCCATAAAAAAGATGTCCTCAGTCATGGAAAAAATGATATGAAGTGGGTAAGGCAGTTTGGATTCAGTTCCCAGAAGAGAGTCCCTTCTTTTCTATAAAATTAACTGTTTGATTTTGAAGAGATATAATTCTGAGTCCCAGTTTCCTGGTTTAAAACAAGGATGCAAATACTTTTGCCATAAGGTCTTAGTAATGAGTCAATGCGATCAATTGATGAAAGCACTCCACATTGTGTCTTCCAGACAGAAGTGTGTACACTACAAACATCTCCTGAAAATCAAGCCAGCTGATGTTTAATTGCTTTGCTTTTAATTGACATATTTTTACACATTCTTAAAGATTCAGCCTGCATAGATCACACCTTTTAAAAGCAAACATTGGATCCATTAAGCTCTACTGTAGCATGCTACTTTCCTAGAACAATGACTACTAAAATGATTTAATTCTGCCTTCTTAAAAACAGTCAATGAATGACCTTAGCAGCTTCATATCATACAGGGTTAATGAAGTTTAGAAATTTATGAAATTCTGTGAATGAGATGGGTAGACAACATTCATAATTTCCATAAGTTGTCTAAAACTGTTGGTATCAGACTCCAAGGTCATTGACTTATGTTTGTGTATTAAGACCATCTAATGTTGAAATCCAAGCTAAGAATCATTTACCATTTCCACTGGTGAAATACTTATGCCACAGGTGTTTCTTATCTCCATAATTAAACAGACTGAGCTATGCATTTGAAAGAGTCACTTATGTCACAAGTGATGAAAGAATTGCTTTCTTCCATCAAATAAAACCAGACTGTTTTTCTCTGAGCGTAGAGGGTTTAGGAAATATTTCATTCCCTTTCAGCTCTACTGATCGTTATTGTGTGTGGCAGGAAGCACAGAATGCTTCCTTGACCAGGAACAAGGTCAATTGCTCAATTTGTAGAATATTGATATAAACAGTTGAATGGCTGATCATAAAATATCAGCAATTTTGTATCAGAGGTTATGCTAATTGACAAAATTTCTAGGCAAGTTTGCAAGTGACATTTTTTAAGCTTCTTCCTTTTTAAATATCCTAGATTAATTTCTGCCAATCGTTCTCTTATTTTATGCTGGTCATATAATCCAAAGCCACATGAGGCTGACCCTTGACACTCTGTATAGTTTAATGAAAAATATGATAGCAAGTCATGCTGGTAGAACACAGTAGAATTTTAAGTAATTTCCATTATAAGTGAAAATGCTATATTTTGGCAGTCAAAGCACATACTTTTTCAATACTGATGTATGCTTAAGTTAGACTAAAATGTTATTTGTAGTTCATGATGACCATATAGATATCAGTTAAAGGTATTAAACTGGCTGTGTTCCAATTACACCTAAACTAAGCCAAAATTATGTCTAAATGATCATTAATATAAAATAAAGTAGGTTTTATACTTTTAAAAATATGATCCTTTTTTTTTAACCTTTTTTTGTTTCCTAGAGCATACATTTTAAGTCAGAGTAAAGTTTACAAAAGGTTTATTTTCTTGTCACCAATTTTGCTGGACTGTTGCTTTGAGACAATGACATGCTTCCGAAAGCTCTTTCAATCTGTCCACATACGGTTTTTGATTTTGTCTTTTTCATTACTAAGGGTTGAACTCTGAACACAAGGCAAGTGCTCTACAACTAATCTACAGCCCTGGACCCAATAAACAATGCTTTTTAGCAAGATTTGGACTATAGATTAACAGATTAAAGGTAAAGTTGTAAGAGTAAAACAAGATTCAAAATATTCCATTGGCTGTTTCATCTCTTTTACACAAAAATATGCTCATGATGCATGAAATATTCTAATTTCTAAATGTGAAGACATATTTTTAAAAAATTTTTCTTTTATTCAATACCTAGTATGACCTCCCATAGGTGAATATATAGATGAATGAAAAAAAATGAAAAGGAAAAGGAAAAAGAGTGCTCTTAGTTATGGTGGAGGAGACAGCTGATTAAATATCTGTGGGCATGCATAGCCAGAGGTAGACACATCTGGGAGAGCTCAGAGTAGCCATGATTAGAAGGAGCCAAGTGAAGAGAGGGGAGTTGGGAAGGGAGGGAAGGGTAGGGGTCACGGAGCAGCGGCCAGGAGGCTCATATGTACAGAGGGCAGGTAACCAAAATGGTTGGATTATATAAGGAAGAGCAGCCCAGCCCCCTGGGCTGGAGAAGTTTAGAGTAGGGGGTGGGTTACACTAGTCAAGAGGATCCTGTAATAGGTAGGGACTGAGGGATACAGGTGTTAAGTACACACCTGAGTCATTGGTTCCAGGTTTGAAACCTAACAAAAACCATCTATAATAACCACGTGATGATCCTTGTTAGTGAATAAATGTATATTAAAAGATACCTACTATCCCCAAATTAGAAAACAGATTTAAATTAGTATTCCATAGACCTTTATTCTCATACAAAATACTTCCAAAATTACTAATAATGAGCACTTAAACTACATGTATGGGAGGTAATATTACCATCTTTTTTAGATGTGGAAACTGAGGCATAGAAAGGTTACATAGTTTGTGTATGTTTATATAGTTGGTAAAATGTCAAAGCCTGATTTCAACACAACCCATCTGTCTCTAATGTCTGGTCTTTTAATCCACAGTGTATATGGAAGAGTAAAAAAAAAAATCACAAAACTAAGACAGCCATTTCCCTTCTTTTATCTTTGAAGTTAACACATATTTAACGAAGTCAATTTTTAGGGAGTAAAAGTGACAACCTGGGAAAACGATTTTAACCAATTTCCAAACATTATTCATGACAATTATTGATTGGATTAGGTCTAATTGGTTATTAAATTATAATAACAGCAATAATGCTCACTAGAAATCATGTCCAGTGAAAACTAAAATGCACAGCTCTCCCAGAAGGTGGCCTTACTCAGGGGTGGGGTTTCCATTTGGTGGAGCTTTCATGATGTATTTTCAATTAAGATGTAAACATTTTCAGACTAAAAAAAAATTCATCCTAAATTTCCCACTTTCATTAATTTTTTTCTTTTTGATCCGCGCTACGTGTACCTCTTTCAATCTGCCACTGATAGACGAATAATTTTCAGGAAAGGTTTTGTAATTTGTCATTTTGGGGTGAGATTGGCTTTAACTTGAAGGTCAGAGAGGTGGATAGGGAAGAACACATGACAAATACAAAGAAATGACGAAGTCTAACCCATGCAGCAGTAGTCACTACTATACTAGAAACATGAGATTAAATGTCTTCAGAATAATGAAGCCTATCAATCAGTATCCTCATGTACTGGGAAATCAGACCATCCTGGGAAAAAATGGTTGCACATCACAGCCACAAGCACACAGAAGAAATGAACTTCCTTGGCTTTCAACCTGCTTTTCTATAAGGTTAAATCTCCGATAGAATTATGACTAGCCAGAGATGAGGTATGCCTTTATGATAGAGGATATCACAGCATTCAGCACTTGAGGAAATGTCTGAAGCTTAAAGGCATTGATATGAACTCAACATAATATGATTACACTCTTGAAAAATTATTTTTTATTACCCCTTTAGACACACAACAGAGCAGTCAAATAAAATATATTTATGTGTAGAAAATTAATTTCTTAAGATTTATGTATTTATACATACGTATGTCCTATTTGCTAAGTGACCTATCACTGTAGCATCACATTATGGAATATTTCTTCATCATAGTCATTTCTTCATCTTTTTCTTTTTTCTTTCCCTTTTTTGGCTATGCTAGTTCCAATTCAGAGTCAATGAAGTCTGTTTAAAAGATATAATTAAATGTGTCTTTGGGGGAGTAGTTTAGTAAATTTTTTTAAAATATTAACAAAAACTGTCCTGTTTATTTCCTAATGTATGTGTACTTTACACATGCCCAGGATGATAAAGAAGAAATGAGAAGTCCCATAACTTCTATCAACACTAACTCTGAACTTGCCTGGCAGGTTTAATATGTCTAAATATGAGAAGGGCATAAAAACTGAGGTGGCTATCTAGATATCCAAGAGAATGGATTTGCTTACAGTAGGAAGCTATTTAAGACAAAATTGTACTGTTTGTATATGAACTCCAAGTAATCCCATAGCTTTATTCCCCTGCATGAGCAGACACAGCCATTACAGTTATCTGCTTTATGACTTTATAGTCAGAGCTTCTTAAGGCTGAACTCATTTCTTAAGGAGACTTTTGAAGAAGATTTGCAAAATCATGGTGATTTTAAAAATCATAAGCTAGAATTGCCTCACCTGTGAAGAGATGATGATCCAATCTCTCTTCAAATGCCCTTTAAGATATACAATCATTTGATTTATCAACTAGTTAAGTACTAATTTCCCTTCTACTACTTTAAACAAATTTAAATATTTCAAAGTAGAACAAAAAGTTTAACTAACATACATCAGGAAAAAAAACAAGCCATTTCTACTTTACTCTCCTAATAAACCATACTGAATTTTGCGTTAGACAGACTCCTTGAGTAAACAAGCTGCCCCAAGGATGATTACAGGCTACCTTTGATGGAATATTGTTAATGAGTCAATAAGCTGCGTAAGTGCATAAAGATGACCATATGTTTCCTCTAAGATGCTATGAACCTACAATTTAACATCTTAAACAAAGCATTTAACTTACAGCCTAATGCACACATAGGTACAGATCTTGAATGTCCTCTCTACAGAGGCCCCAACACATAATTCACTACCATTTCTCTATCAGTGTAAGACAATAAATTTTATGAACATAGTTCTCTGTACTCTAATGTAACATGGCACAATACTAATATTCTCAAGATAAAAGTCAAAATCTGAACGTGAGGGTGCAAAGAAGTAAGACACAGGAGAACATAAAGTATGTAAACACCAAGCCTGTTTTGAGAGTCTTGTTGAGGGGCTGGGAATAAACAGAAAGATAATTGGACAGAGGTGGGGGAAAATGCGTGACTGATTGTGAGGATTTTAATAGATATCAGCTCTATTAAGTAAAAATAATTTTAGGAAAAAATTTTTTACAGGAAGGTAAATCAACAAGATGACCTTTAGAGTCGACTGCATTTCTTTGAGCCTATAAAACCCATATCCCATTAAAATAATATATACCAAAGTATTTATCTCTCAACCATTTGATGGCCAAAGATTCTGCCCAGTTCTGTTCATCTTAGTGGTGCTGCTGTCATTTTTGTTTCTACACTGTGCATTTGCCTACATGACACAGACAAAAGAACGCACAGTCACACTTGGCATAATAATGATGGATCCTCTTACAGAGTTCTAAAGTCAATGCTCTACCTCTTTTGCCTTTGAATTTAGAAGTTTTTGCCAAGTAAACAAACTCTTTGATGTTTGGATCTAGCTACTCATACAGTGCACCCAAGTTTCCCATCCTCCATAATCAATATAGACATCCTGTGTCTACTACTTATGGAACATTTAAAGTTCTCTATCCTATTTATATGTAGTTGCCTGAGGAACACAAAGCTACTTCTTACCTGTGTGGTAAAACTTCCCTGAAAATCCAAGGTTGAAGGTAAAATTTGCAACCTGAGTGCGCAGTAAATTTTGAGTCTCTAGTAATGCCTGAAATAAATAAGAAATTAACATAATTTTAGAAAAATAAATATGAAGTTTGGGATGCCCCTTTCACAAATGTGTGGGCATGAGAGAAACAATAAGAGCTTTGCTGAGTTGTGGTGTCTGATGGGCATCAATTGTGTATTCATATTACAGCTATTGTAATTATTACGGATGTTATTTTATTGAAGGTCACAGAACTGTGAAACAGTTAAGTCCTGAGCACATTATGCATCACTGAGAGCCAATTCTCCAACTGCACAGCCTTGAAATCATTTTTCATTTTGTATGAGGCATTTCTTGAATTTCAGATTATTACATTTCCTTTCCATGGGGAAACTTTCAGAATTGTTGCTATAGACAAGTTCTATGTATGTTACTAAGGAACAGGGCAGAACTTTTATTTGCACTACATTTCATTATGTGACCATGTTACCGCTCCCATGATTTTTAAGGTAAAAGTATTAAAGTGAAAGCTTTATTTTTTACTTCATAAACAGATAAGCAATATACATTTACAAGGCATTGCTTGCAGTTCCAAAAAAATAAACCATATAGGAATAAATATGGAATATGTTGCTAACTCCACAAAGAAGCATTCTCTATTATCCCAATATAGCAAACATTTCCTTAATTCCTAGATTTTTGAATTACACTATTATGACTTCCCACTTGTAGGTAAGATAAGTACACATTGGCAGTAATTAGCCAGAATTATTCATTCTATCAATCCTCCAGTTCTGTCACCCCATCTTAACATACATAGCAGAATTTGGAACTCTCCAATACACTTTTTTTTTTCTTATTGGCATGGTTATCAATTTATTGATTGAGAGCTCTTATCCTATTTTCCATTAGATTTTACAAGAGAACTTTATTCTGGTAGAAAATTGGTACTATTAATTTCAATACTTCTTGGCTACTGGATCCATCTGTTAGGGTGAAAAAAGAGCCAATGTTTAGATTGTTTGCTTGGCATGAGTCATGATGAAAAAGTTTTTGGTTTCAAACATTTTTTTATGGTCCTTACTATTCTAAGTTGTTTGATTTTAATGTGTGGGAGCCCATAGTGACTCCAGTTTGTGGCTTGATTCCAACTTGACTCAAGGTCAGAGAGCTCAAGCTTGTCTTTGCTCCTTAAGGCTGGATAACAGGATGTTTGGCCAAAAGAATGGTTACCAGATGTCTCCTCAAGGCTGGATAACAGGATGTTTGGCCAAAGGCATGGTCACAAGATGTCTTGAGAATTAGGAGGTGTTTATTCTTGTTTGTTCCTTGAACTATGGTGTCCTTGAGAGTGGGAGGTCTTTTGCCCTCCTTGCTTCTGTATAAAAAGGCAGTGAGAAATAAACTTGGGGCTGCTGCGGTATTGATGGAGAGCCTTCTCGAACCTATCCTGTGTTTCTGTCTTTTCTTTTATGTCTCTATTTTTTTTCTATCTGTTCTTTTCTCAAGCCTCACTTCCCTATTCAGGACTGTTTGAGAGGTCCTGAAGAACCCGACATTAATGTAAGAGAGGAGAAGAAGCATGGATGAAAAGAAGGAAGGTGGGGAGAAGGGAAGGAGAAAGGGAGGGAGGGAGGAACAGTGACTAAACAGATACTAATAAAATACGACAGTCAGTGGTTATCCAAGACCATATTTATGGTGGAAACAATCATGACCAATCTTATTTTAAGGTTATCAAAACAAAGAACAAACAAAGAAACAAACAGGAAAAACATAAAAATCCAAACTAAACCAAACAAACAAACAAAACACACTTCCGGGAAGCTAAACTAACTAGTTTTAGTGAATTTTAACAAGTTTTGAACATGATTGGTTTTATTTTTCGTTTTCAATACATCCAGACTGCAATTTCCCTTCCTTCTAGTCCTACCAGATCCTACCTTCCCTGCCCACAGAGCCTTGTCTCCTCTGTCTTTCTTCAGAAAAGAGCAGGCCTCCCAGAGTATCAGCTGAACATGGTAAAACAAGATGCAATAAGACTTAAGTAAATATTAAAAAGAGGATGTTGTCCAATAACTTGAGGCCCACTTCACAAGAGGGAGCTCATGCCTGACACTGCTTGGATGGCCAAAAATTGGAGAAAGGACAGCCCAAAGCTAGTGTAGAACCAAACATGAATAGTCTTAAAAACTTAAAGAAATGATTTCTAATGATATTCTGCTGTTCTCACAGATCAATCTGTTGTCTAGTCATCATAAGAGAAGCTTCCTCCTGCAGCAGATGGGAATGGATGCAGACACCCACAACCAGATATTGTAGAGAGAGAAAGACAGAGACAGGAAGAGAGAGAGAGAGAGAGAGAGAGAGAGAGAGAGAGAGAGAGAGAGAGAGAGAGAGAGAAAGAGGGAGACTAAAGTGGAGCTATCCATATTTGTTGGGTCATTGAGTCCCTCCACCCAGAGATTGGAGAAACCCAGAGGAAGAAGAAAGAAAGACTTCAGGAGTCAGAGGAGTGGAGACAGCAGGAGAACATGGCATACAGATCAACTAAGCAATGCTTGCATGGGCTCACAGAGACTGAAGCAGCATGCACGGGGCCTGCATGGGTCTGCACCAGGTCCTCTGTTTATATATAATGGCTGTTAGATTGGTGTTTTTGTGAGACTCCTAAAAGTAGTAGCAGATGTATCTCAGACTCTTTTGCCTGCTCTTGAGACTCTGTCTCCTACTGAGTTGCTGTCCAGCCTCAAGACTTTTGCCTTGTCTTTTATTATTATTATTTTTTTTAATGCTGAATGCCGTTTATTGAAGGAGGGAGGAGGTCTTAAATACAGGCTTACAGCACAATGGGAGAACCCTAGAGGGCAGAAGTTTGCTACCCATGTTTTACAATCTTGCATCTAAGCTGTTACTGCCCATTATGCAGGATACACAGACAAGGAACTTCCCTTAAGCATTCAGGAGGGTGAAACCTGGGAGGGAATTAGCATAGGGAGGATATCAAGGTCAAAGTCAGCAAGCAAGGCAACAGTTACCCAAAATGGGGGCCAGGACCCTACAGGTCCCCCTTTTACTAATAAATGAGCTTCTGACATAGGTTGCATGGGAGGTCAGCAGGTCACCTCACCCATCATGGAGACGCCTGCCTAGGTCACACAGGCACTCTGTCTTAGGTTGGTGAGTGTCCCCCAAGTATTACCTGTCTTTGAATACTCATTATCATATAGGCTCAATCATGTGTGAGCTGCAGAGTTAACTGCCTTGTCTTATTGTATCTTTTTTTTTTTTTGTCCTGTTGGGCTGTTGTATTTTGGAGGCCTGCTCTTTTCTGAAAAGAAAATGGAGGGGGAGTGGATTTGTGGGAGAGGAGAGTTGGAGGGGGGAGGCTAGGAGGAGTGGAGTGAGGGAAACTGTGGTTGGGATGTATAGTATGAGAGAGTATTCTATTTTCAATAAAAAAAAAAGAGGGTGTTGTCAAAATTCATGAAACTTGCTGAAGTTATTGTTCAATGCTATGGAATAAAGCCTTTAAAACAAAATTGTGCATTTTTTTCTCTTAGTGGGTGCCTTTTTGTCCCCCCTACTCAATGTTCAGTCCTTGTGATCCCATATTTTGAAATACACATTTGTTTTTTTATTTCCTTCCTCTCCAATCCTATCCACTCATTGTTTTTTCCACTGAGTTCCTAAAGTCATTCATAATTCTACATGCATCCATCATCACTTTGATTAAATAAGGGCTTACTATTGTATTGAGAGTAATAAGCAGGAACCACATAGCTTCAGACCTTACTGATGACAGAGGTGGTGGTGGAGAAGGAAAAAGGATGGGGGGAGCAAAGGAGAAGGAGCAGGAGAGAGAGGAAGAAGGAGGAAGCAGACAGAGAAAAGAGGATATGGATACTGACAGTCACATGTGTGTAATTACACCTCTTCATAAAAGTTGAGATTGTGCTTTGAAGGAAGTTTTATAGAATATTTTCCTACACACCTGCTCATTAGGTGCTTTTGGAGGGAACAATCTAATAAGGAAACAAAACTACATGACTCAACCTTACCCAGCCAGCTCCCATCACCTTTCTCTTGGGTTTTAAAAAGATTTTAGAGAACAGCAATGTTTCCACTGTCCATTTTCAGCTTCTTCTATTCACTCCTCTCTATAATCATGCTAGGCTTCTGACACAGGAAGTGCATTGGAAACTTGGCTCAGGGAAGCTATTCTATTAATGATTCAAGTTTTATCAGTCAATTTAGTTCTTTATTTTTTCTTATATCTATAAAATGGAATAGAGAACACTTACGTAATAAAATTATTTTAAGATTACATCATAGGGGACCTGCAAAAATTGTTTGCTACACAATATGGCTTCAATAAATAGTGGTCAATAAAGAAATTCAATAAATTCTAGAGATGTCAGTCTTTTCTATCAATCATAAATCCCTGGCATCTTTAAATATCTCATTAGGCTACATGCATCTCTTCATTCCCTACTTCACCAGATAATCCTTAAACTGAACCACCACTGAACTGCCTTTTATGTGTCTCTATGTCTTTCTCACTCTTCATTCTGCTTGGGAAGCCACCCTTCCTCCCAATACCCATTCAAAAAGCCATCCATTCATTAAATCTCTATCCAAATGCCATCTTTCTTCAATCAACAACCTTTAATGCTTCAAAACTTTTCCTTTCTTCATCTCCTAGAGATTGTTTCTAAATTATTTTCTTAAAATTTGCATAATTTTCTGCTTTATTATATGTACTTTGTATCTTATTTCCCTCTCTAGTCAATAAGAGTGTTCAGGTTGATCAAATCTTAGTCATTTTTCTGTATCCTTTGTTGGAAAATGTAATTTTGTGCATGTGAATTATATTCAGTCAGATAAAAGCACATGTTAATGCATGACAATAAATAGGATTCATTCCATTTATTCTGTTTGTAACATTTTTTCAATGTCAAAATGATAAACATAGATCAGCCAAATGTTGTATCAGAACAGTATAGACAAAATGTTACATTTTACCAGCCTATCGTATAAGATCAAAGTTGTACAGCAAT